GATGGGCCTGAATTCACCAGCCCCAAGGTCTGTTTATAGCAGCGGTTCTCAACCTATGCATCATGACCCTCAGGAACTGTATTAAAGGGCCGCAGCATCAGGAAGGTTGAAAACCACTGGTTTATAGTAAGAAATGCTGCTTTGTGGCATCATAACATTATTTTTCACAGTATTAATTGGACTCGCTATAATTAATTGTCCCACAAAATATGTTTAAACTAAACTTTTAAAAAATGAGTATTTCCCACATATCCAACTGACACTCTGGTGATGTTATTATATCTTGGTCAGAGCAACAACTCTAATTTTTAAAAATTATAACTTACATTGTAGTTGTACTAATACTTAGATCTCTCACAAACCTTCCCTTGGTAGTTGTACTGTGGGAGTCAGGGCAAAGAGCATCCTTTGTGCTTCACTAAGCAATTACAGTCACGTTCTGCCCAATTAAAACAGCATTTTTGACATTTTTTAAGTGAAGAAGCATATAAACAAGTCTCTAACTGAGGAAAAGCCTAGGTACCAACTATACTTTTCCCAGTTCTTCAAGGTATTAGGCCACTGAAAGACATTTGCAGTAACAGACTCACTTCTAAGTGGCTATAAGTAGGAAGGAGCTTTAATTCTTTCTGGCCTTCCAAGGTAATTAATTAATAATCTCTAAACGAGTGATGAAATACACTTAAGATATCAAACTTTAAAAAGATTTTGGTAGGAGTACCCCATTTCTCTATCTGTTCTTGTATATTTAAGTTATTGTTCCTGCGTGTTTGTACATGTAAGACAGGATCTCACTCTGCTGCCCCAACTGGAGTGCAGTGGCACCGTCACACTCATGGTTCACAGCAACCTCACACTCCTGGGCTCAAGTGATTCTCCTGCCTCAGCCTCCCAAGTAATTGGGCCTAGAGGTGTATGCCATAACACCTGGCTACTCTTCTATTTTTTTTCTTTTTGTAGAGACAGAGTCTTGAGAGAGACTTGAATTTCTGGGCTCACAAAGCAGGATTATAGGTATGAGCCACCACACCCAGCCTATTCCAATTTTTTGAAAAATCCTTACATGTTTCCTATGGTTGGATCGTTTTAATGGTTTCTCTTCTCACTATAAAATCAAGGGCAAGTTTAACCTTGTTTTTTTACTGAGACAGAGTCTTACTTTGTCACCCTCTGTGGGGTGCTGTGGTGTCATAGCTCACAGCAACCTCAAATTCTTGGGCTCAAGTGATTCTCTTGCCTCAGCCTCCCTAGTAGTGCAATTTTTAACTTTTATGAAAGTCATCACTTCTGTAGAACAACCCATAGTTTACAAAGGGATCATTCTTAGGAAGGTCATTCTGTGTGACATTTCTAAGACCTTTGAAGCAAGGATCTTGTTTCAATACATTCTCATAAATTTTTTTTTATTTTTATTATTTTTTTCTTTTTAGACACAGAGTCTCACTTCATCACCCTCGGTAGAGTGCTGTGGCATCACAGCTCACAGCAACCTCCAGCTCTTGGACATAGGCGATTCTCTTGCCTCAGCCTCCCAAGTAGCTGGGACTATAGGCACCCACTATAATGCTCAGCTGTTTTTTGTTCCAGTGTGGTTGGGCCCAGGTTTAAACCTGCCACCTTTGGTGTATGGGACGAGCGCCCTACTCACTGACCCACAGGGACCGCCCTCTCGTAAATTCTGCCAGGAACCATTTATAAACCATTTTTTTCTTTAAGGAGGACATTTTCTAATTCAACTAGTTTATCCATGCTAACATGTCTATATATGTTGTTGTCCATTCTGGCCACAAACTAATTTTTTTCTTACCAGGATGTCCCAAATCAAGGTGTAGGCAGATGGTGTCTGGAGAGGACCAGCCTCCTAGACAGCCAGGGTTTTACTGCACCCTCATCTGGCAGAAGAGCTGAACTAGCTCTCTGGGGTCTGTTCTAATAAGGGCCCTAATCTCAGTCACCAAAGGTTCTACCACCTGAAACCATCACCTTGGAGGTTAGGACTTCAACACAGGATTTCAGAGGGACACAACATTCAGACCATCGTGATCTACTAAATATTCACAAAGTGCTCCACTGCATGCGAGTTTTGCAGAGAGCACAGGAGGGAGGTGCATGTACAGTTTCATTTTTCCCTTCCCTCTCTGGATTTCCTTAACATAGCACTTATCCACCAGGGGGAATGAAAAGTGTGGTCAGAGTAAACAGGGATCCCATGGGCCTCAAGGAAAGAGTATGGCAGCAGGCACACATTCGAAAGGCAATTTGCAATTCCAGTCATGAGTGTTCAGAGACGACTCCTACCCGGGAAGCATGACAAGAACAGTCCCATAACTGGAACTAGGGAGGGAGGAGCAGAGGGTGGGCTACACCACTGCAATCAGGTCCATCACTGTATAATTAAGCTGGGACTAGGGGCAGAAGAAGTAGGTTACAGGCAAAGGCAGCAGCTCATAGTGAGTGGTATTGTGCAAGCAGAGATGGGAAACAAATGAGAGCCATCAGGGCCAGGTGTCCTGTGAGCCGGAAGGTACTGATTAGGGTTCTCAGCTGAGCCACTGGGTGGCGGTGGAGGCAGCCGGTCAAAGCAAATC